GTATCAGCATCGGCCCTAAAAAATCCGTATCTGTCTATCACTACTTAATAAGGTTCTTTCTTGATAAAACCAGGGTTTTCTTCTCCCTGATGTTTGGCCATTGTTTTATTAGGCTATAGTATCCTTGCTGCAGCGGCCCAGGGTTCGAATCCGACCTGCGGCTCTCTGCTGCGTGTCATTCCCTCTCTCTGCCCCCCTTTCACATCTGTCTTCAGCTTTCACTATCATGAAGGCAATAAAAACCCTTAAAATCAACAAGGCCTTGCAACCCCCCAAAGCTTTGGCAAACCCTAGTGGGGGTCCACTAGTTGGGAACCGCTGCCGTGGGGGTACATGTAGCCTCATTTGAGAAACACTGATTTAATAAAACATCATTTAAGATGGATGAGAATGAACTGGATCATTGGATTAATCAGCCCATAGCTAAAGAACAGGTCTCCGGTAAGAGGTGTGGTACCACTGCTGATAAACCACTGTTTACACAGGGAAGGATGGCTAAGCAACATTCACCTTCACATTCAACATACAAACTGTTCCATACACACACAGTCTGCTCTCCGTCAGCCCTTTTATTGGTGCTGTGCTATGTGGGCACCTAAACAGAAGTGATGGAGATGCTGAGAGAACGTTCTGTAGAGCAGCCTTCGAGTCTTGTTCATCAGCATGTTCATCATTTGGTTGGCTCCTGTTTCTAGCAGCTGAGGAACATTGCTAAACTCAGGCCCATTGTGTCCCTAGCTGAGATGGAGTTGATTATTCATGTTTATTTCCACCCACTAATGCAATCCCCTCTTCACCTGCCTCAGCAACACATCCCTGAACTGTGGTCCAAAATACAGCTGCCAAGCTTCTGACCAGTTCCTCCAAAAGGTCTCATGGAACACTGACTTCTTTACTCTGGCCTCCCATCAAATTCAGAATCCAGTTCAAGATTCTTGTGCTCACATTTTGAGTCTCAGACACCTGCCTCCATTAAAGAGCTACAGTTAAAGGTTTCCAAATAATTATTACTGGCATTTTAACATTTGACTGGTTGTGTGTAATGACCATGTGACGTACACACTGAGGGAACAGGTATCACAGCAAACAATCACTCCTCTGTGCTCATCTTCCTCTTCATAATCCTGCTGCCTTCTCTGTGTCTCCTCCTCCACCTCCTCCTCTGAGACGCTGAATCCTCCTCCACAGCGACAGCTATATGTATACACACACTCATCTGAAACACACACACACACACACACAATTTTAGATGGATTTACTGGCCTTAATCAGATAGTGAAAATGAACATGTGTTGATATTATGATATTTAATGGCTTTGAAAAGTGACGCACAGTAACTAAAAACGTATAATAAAAAATAAAGCTGGAGTAGGTAACTTTTATAAAAAAAGTTATTTTCTATATCTTGACAGTAGTACATGAGACAGATACTCTGCGAAACAATCAGGTTCCTCTGGCTCCTTCTAGTTCTCCTAATGGCATTTGCAAGGATCCCACGGGCCTGAATGAAAACAACCAATCAGAACTGAGGAAGATAGTTGATTGTTGAGTCTCATTTCCAGGTCATCAAATACCGACGCTTTGGGACTCTGGGAATGAGACTGAACAACAAAGAATCTTCCTTTCATCTGTATCTTTTTCGGCTGTGTTTGGTTGTTTGCGTTCAGGCCAGGTGGATTCATACTATTCATACCATTTCAAATAAAAGACATTTGTAAACATATAAACAATATAAATATAAATAAATGCTGTGAGTCCTGAAGGTGGTACTAGAGGAAAGGGTTCATCCTACAGTTACAAACAGATTGATCTATCATTGGGATCCAGCAGGTATGAGAATGACTGAAATAAACACCTAAGGCCTGTTGCTCCAACAGGTTTAAGTTTAAACATAGTTTAAACTTAAGGTAGTAGATGAATTAATGCTTTCACTTTGTAAAACCACGTTGAAAAATTGTAATAAGTTGGACTGTAGTGAAGACAGAACTTAAAATTAACACCAACAGACATACCTTAATGCCGTGGAAATGGTTAGAATGATGGGAGAGACTAACGACAGAGCCAGAAGATTTTTTTCTTCACTGTTTAAACCAGAGCACATTTTCTGGTACAGAGTACATCACTTTAGAGTAGAAATAACTGACTCTCTGTGTGAGATTTGAAACATCTTAGCGTTCCTACTACTGTTATTTTAGCTGAGTATGTGTTCATTATACATGGTGTGTACTTACCCTGGTCCCAGGTCATGTCCCTCAGATAGACCGTAGAATCCACTGGCCAATCCTGTTTCAGTTCCCGCGCTGGAGAAGTATCAGTGCATCATTATTTTAATAGTAGTAGAAGGAAGACAAGCACAAAAGTATTTTTTAGGCAAGGCCACTTATTTTTATTTTATTTTATATTGTATCTGCTTTAATCCTGTTTTTTTTGTGTGTGTGTTGTTGTGATGCAAACTCAACACTTCCTCCATGTTTGCCTGTTGTCTTGATAAATTCAGCATGGTTTAAATTTCAACAAACGGCTTCCGTCACTTACCGGTCGGCTACAGCTACGGCCAGCATGCTACGGAAGCCGTTCGTGGCAGCGTATTAGTTTGAAGTCAAGACGAACACATTATTAATTAATTCTTTGGTACAAGAGCTGCCACGGACGGCTTCTGTTGCCACTGGCTGTAGCTGTAGCCGACCGGTTGGTTTGTTTACTTGACTGGAAGCCGTTGTGGCAGCTCTTGTAGGTTGAAATCAAGACAAACACATTATTAAT